CATATGATAGAAAATACTTATAATGATAATTGATTCTAAATTTTCTATTAAAAACATGGTTTGGTATTAGAGTCTTCAAAATAGGATTCCAACAAAAAAAATGATGTTCTTAAGTCCAAAATATTTTTTATAATTAAAAAATTAGAAGGACTAATTATGAAATTTAGAAAACGGAATATTTCAAGAATATTCTATCAAATTTAACGGAATGCACTTAACAGTAAACTTAAATGATACCGAGTGCACATATAATAGAGTTTAGTGGTACCCGACGCCCTATTCAAAATTAAGTGGTATGTCTACCTCAATTGTCAAAGTTAAGTGATATCCGAGTTATTTTACCCAAAAATAAACATATTGCACCATAGGATTTGATTCAATCATGTTTTCCAACCCTTTGTACCAACAGACAAAGGCACAAAATCAGGTTTTCCACTCCTTTGAAAAAAAAGCCACAATTTGCCTATTGTCTAAAGTATACACTCAATTTTACGAGGTGAAATGCCAAAGGTAACATAGCTTAGTGGTGAACTGGACCAATTGAGTTCTGGATGTGGGAGGTCCTGAGTTCGATTCCCAGTGGCACCATTTGAGCGTTCCCGGCGGGACCCTTGGTATCGGAGGCGAAGCCTCCCCGATGTTGGTAGCAGAAAACCCAGTTAGTATGCAGGTACCCCAGTGGTTTAGTAGGCCCCACTGTCGCTCAAGCGGCACAAGGGGCTGAGGTTCCTGGATTATCAAATAAAAATTTTAAGAGGTGAAATTAAGTTTGCGTAATATCATTTTTGAAACATATTTATACCCAACTTTTTATACCACCCACAATAATAGGATGAAAATGCTGAAAATTGGGTTTTCCCACTTTGGGATCTACATTGGAGCGATAAAAGCCAAAAATTGGATCTAGTGGGTAATTGGGTTGGGTATACCCAACATTAGCAGACAATATGTGAGAAGTTGGGCAGGATTGGGAAAGCCAGTCAATCGGCCCGTTGGTGGTGTGTCTGGCAGGATGGCAATGGATCGGGTTGGGGCATGTTATTTCAAACCTAAACTCATTCTCATGAGTTTATCCATCAAAAAAATTCGGAGTAAAACTCATTGGATATGGAAAACTCAAACCCAACCCAATCCGCTGGTTATCAGCGGGTTCATTAGTAGCCATGGGTTCATGTACAAAGATGCAAATTATTCATGCTCGTTGTTCAATATTAAAGATAAACATCCACAAACAATATGATTAATTGAACGTTTGAGAAATTAGTTTAGAAATTATAGGGTAAATACAATATATTAGCCAGAACTATTAAGGATCGGGAATAATAGCCACAACTATCGAAATACAAAATAATATCCAACTGTTAAGTCTCCATTAACACTTTCGTTAAATGATGGTGAGTTGGCAGATGCTACGCTGACATGGCAGTCAACAAAAATGCTACATAAGCCGGTCAACCCTGTAACTTATTTATTAATTAATTATAAGGGAAACAAATTAAAAAAAATCCCCCGATTATTCCTCGATTCTGATCATCATCCACCGGTCAATTCGCCCCAAAGTTCATCGCCGTACAAGCTTCAGGAACTCTGGCACACGATTCGGAAGCTGAAAGAGGTCTCTCTCGGAACAACAAACGGGGACAAGCGTCTCACCACCCTTTTCCACATAGAGAGTTAGCAGCAGCGCCGATTTCGTAGAAATGGAAAATCTTATGACGTTGACGACCTGGAGGCCGGGTCTTGGGCGCACTTTGCGACCGTACCTTGCGCCTCGAGCTCTGTGTGTTCACCATGTAGCTCGAGAACTGATTGTGATCGTACGACATCGATTCTGGGTAGTCGTGTTGGGGGAATACGAACGGCCACAGCCCCGCCGATGGGTCGAGTTTCGCTGACGGGACAGGTCTGGCTGCTCAATACTGCAAGCTCTGGGGCTCATCTCTGTCAGCGCCGACGGAGTCGGCGACACCTGGAAATTCGATTGCGCGAAATTACTGGAGAATCTACGATCTATTCTCCCAAATCGTGGCGATGTGTAGGAGTAGTTGTTGCGACTCTTCGTGCTTTCCTTCGAAGCTCCCAGATCCGTCCAGAATCTTCGATCTTCCGTCTACTGGCGGACGAACCCCTGCGAGAAATGCAATTTGATCCGCCCAAAATTGAATCCAATCTGATGAAGTTGTTCGAATTGGAGGCCTTCAAGGCATGGGCGACGCTGGAGCTGGAGCACGAGCAGGAGGCCCGGGAGGCAGAGAGCGAGATGGAATCTGCGGAGGACGAGCAAGAATCGGCGATGGAGGCGGTGATGGTAGAGTTACGGACGTTCGAGACAGCGATGGCGGTCACATGCCCGGGGGAATTATTTCAAGCGGTGGGGATTGGAAAAAAGAGGTTTTCTCATTTTTCTAATTATTTTAATAATAATAATAATAATTACTTATAAATATTATTATTACTTTAATATTTTCTGACGTAGAATACTGACATGGCAGTCTGCGTTATAAAATTTAACGGAGTAACGGACAGTTAGCCATTCCATGATTCACAACAGTAGTTTTGGCTAATATTTTGTATTTAGATAGTTGTGCTATAATTTCCCTCTTCTTTATAGTTGTGGCTAATATATTATATTTACCTGAAACTATAGTTAATTTTTTAAGGGTTTCGTGGGTCGTGGGGGATATGGACTTGGGTGCGTGGATATAGCTAAATCAAAACCCAACCCGCAAAAAGAATAGCGGGTTTAAACCCAAACCCATCCCGCAATCCGTCAAAGCGGGTTTTACCGGCGTTGACCGGATTGGGTCGGGTAGGGTACCCGCGGATTCAGGTTCTACTGCTATCCCTATGTAGAAATTGAGCCCCAACGGTCATATTTTGCCAACGATCATTTTTTCCAACGATCATTTTTTTATGTGAAATCAAAAATTGCATTAAGCTCAGGCAACCATCAGAAAAGACCTGATGTGCCTCTCAAACAGTACAACCAAAACACCCAGCAAAGGGAAACAACTCTATAATAGAGTAAAATCTATAACTATAACCTATCTATATACTCCAATTTAGTCTGAGGAACAGAATCCCCAGTCACTCGAAACAAAACATCACTATGAATTACTTTCATCAACTCTCCTGGCAGCATAATGGTCTTCTTTCCATATAGCCTGGTACATCGCTCTCGCCAAATATGACCGAGGGCTATGCTCCACAATAACCTGCACAAACATTGCCTTGGGTTCTTTGTGCTCCAATTCTGCTCACACCAAATGACAGTGTTGTCCCAGTCCCTTGCAGCTGGCGGTGAAAAAGCTTTTAAGCTTTGCTGCAACACACAAACAGTATACGAGTAAGACACCAGAAGATGGTTATGACTCTCTAAGTCTCCTGGACACAATTAACATAAACATGACAAGGGCTTTCCCCAAACTAACAACTTATCCTGAGTAACCATTCTATTACGCATGGCAAGCCACAGGATAAAGCCATGCCTGGGATTATCTCCTTTGACCATACAAGTTTCCACCAGCCCAGTTCTTGTGGTCGATCCCTTATAGAATTCCATACCCTCTTAACAGAGTTCTTCTGCATTTTCTCACCTTGCCATAACACATGAGGAGGAACACCTGTAACATGAGAGGAAGAAAGCCCTCCACATTTCAGGAATCTCCTCCGCACCCATGTTCCACAAGATGTACCAGACACCTCCCGTATAGTCTTTTGCTTTAATATGTATCTGGTGACCCACGCCACCCAAAGGGAACCTCCTGAAGTTAAGTCCTCCCAAATATGCCTTAGGACACACACTTTGTTCCATAGGATGAAGTTACGAATCCCCAGCCCTCCTTCATGTTTAGGTAATTCAAGTATGTCCCACGCCATCATTGCACGTGCTCGCCTTCCATCCACAGCAGAATCCCAAAGAAACTTATTGCATAACCGTTCAAATTCCTTGATTATATACTGAGGAAGCAAAAAAATGTTGAGCCAATATTGCAACGTGCTTGTGATCACAGTGGAGATTAGTTGGATTCTCCCAGCATATGTCCACAGTCTCGATCTCTAACTGCGCAGTCTCTGTGTAATTTTATCAACAAGCACTTGGCAGTCCTGTCGTGTAAGTTTACCAATGATCAATGACACCCCTAAGTATCGAACAGGGAAAGTACCTAGGGGAAATTCTGTGATACCTAAGATATAATGCATCTCTTCTTTGGAAATCCCTGCACAAAACAACTGGAATTTTGCTGCATGCACTTTAGCCCTGACAACTTAGAAAACCCATCCATTAATCTCTGTATCCCAGCAACTCCTCTAACATACCCATTTGTAAACATCATCAAATCATCCGCAAAACATAAATGTGTGATCAGAAGATTTTTACACCTTGAATGGAAAGGAATTTGATTATCCTGAACTGCCTTCCTAGCCAAACCATCCAATACCTCCATAGCTATGGTGAATAGATAATGAGACAGTGGGTCTCCCTATCTTAAGAAAGCTAGAGGGGAACCTCATTGTTTCCATAACAGTGAATAGAAATCTCCAGTTAATAGAGTCAAACGCCTTCATGATGTCAATTTTCACCACAAAACTTGGAGTAACATTCTTATAGTGGTAATTTCTCACAAGCTCAGAGACTAGCAAGATATTATCACTAATTGCTCTCCCCCTTAATGAATGCAGATTGAGAATGGCTTATGATATTAGGGAGAACCATAGACAACCTATTTGCTAGGATCTTAGATATACCCTTGTAAAGGGTATTGCAGCATAAAATAGGTCTGAAGTCTTTCATTTTTTCTACACTAGGGATCTTAGCAACCAGTGTAAAAATAGTGCGTATTAACGATAGTAGGCATGATTCCAATGGAAAAGAAAGGAAGTGTTGCCTCCAATACATCTCTGCCAATGATATCCCAATGCGCTCTACAGAATTCACCAGGAAACCCATCAGGCCTTGGCGCCTTATCTCGACCAAGAGAATGGAAGACTTGTTTTATTTATGCCCTTGTGATACCCTGCATTAGTAATGCCCCATCATCAGTTGTTAATCTGTGTTGTAAAATCCCTTGATAAAATTTAACAGAATGATGCTCCATATGTGGATCCTCAGTACCAATAAGCTTGGTATAGAAGTCCACTGCTATAGCTCCAACTTGTTGTATATCAGTCACCATTTCACCTTGCTCATTCATCATGCGAGTGATTTGTTGCCTTTGAGTCATTACCTTGACCATTTTATGGAAGAAAGATGTATTTGAGTCCCCCTCCTTGATAACCTGAACCCGTGATTTCTGTTTATAGTATAGTTCCTCAGCTTTCTTGAGTTCCATGTACTCCAAACTTATCTTCCTCTCCACTTCTATACATTCATCACTAGGATTATTTAGAGTCGCCATCTGATCTTGTTCCATTGCAACTGTAGCTTCTTTTAACTGCCAAATGTCTGAGTACTCAACACGATTTAAATTTTTCAACCCCTACTTGACTTGGTTCAACTTTCCATAAAAGATAAAGTGAGGGTAACCTTCAATCTATTTCTGACAGGCTTGCTTTATAATGTCTAAATAGGAGGGATGAGACTGCCAAAACATAAAGTACTTAAAGGGTTTTGAGAGAGTCTTCAACTTTGGAGTATTATCAATTATCTACCTACAATGGTCAGAGACACCAGGAGGGTTAATATAAGCAGTGCTTTCTACAAAAACCTCCATCCAAGCTTCATTTACTATGATCTTGTCAATTCTACGAGCAATGGGGTTATTTCTTTCTCTGTTCCACCAGGTAAACCATGATCATGTGACCTTGTGATCAGTTAGATCCATGTCACAAATCCAACTTCTAAAGTCCTGCATTCTCTGAGTAAGAACTTGTGTGTTTGATGCTTCAGACACATCATCAATAGCATTAAAATCCCCTAAAAAGACCATTGGAACGCCATTTTCTTTTCTCAACAAGAGTTCTTGATATAGTGTTTTCCTTTCTGCTTCCTTGCTGGGACTGTAAACAAAAACCACATAGAAAGGCCTACTATCCTTAACCTTTATCTGGATAAAATGCTCCCCTTCTTCCACACGAGACACTTTCATCCTTGCTTTTCGGAAAATCCATACTCTACCAGACTTCGACTTGGAGTAATTAGCTAAGTGCTTCCAGGCATAAAAACTCCCTATTATTATAGTATTACTATTCTCTTCCTTTACTCTACTTTCTAACAAGCCTACAATATCTATTTTCTTTATTCTCAGTTGCTCTAAGACAGCTGATTGTTTATCAGGGTCATTAAAGCCCCTGATATTCCATCTTAGAATTCTCATTTACCTCTCTTTTTCCCTCGTCCTCTCCCTTTTGGAGGTGGAGGAAGAGGGAGAGCAGCAGCTCTTGCACCCTTACTGACCAGGCCAGAGTATGATTTCCCTTCTTGAGACTTCTGCCCTTGAGAGCCTGAACCAGAACTAACCCAAACCCTCAGCATCAGTCAGCCCACCTTTAGGGGATGGAGTCTTTGATACCAAAGGAGGGAATTCTATTCCCTTCCCTTATCCTGCTTTGAATTATCCTCAGTCACTGTTTTCTCTGCAATCACCTCATGACTTGTCCCTTTATCTTGCTCGTTAGTCTCAGTCATAACCTCATTACCCTTGTCCTGAACCCCTCCTTCAGTTGCAGTTGAAACCTCAACTTGGAGTTCCCCAATCACTGGCATTTTCTTCCGCCAAACACGTTGAGAAGGTTCAGCAGGTTGAGTACAATTATGCTCAGAACATTGTCACTTCTCAGATACTTTAGGCAAATGACAGTATTCAACATCAACAAAAATTTCAGGCAACCCATCTGGAGTAACACTCAGTTTTGATATTCTCTTTGCATCAGCCTTTCTTTCAACACAAATTTGAGCAGAACCCACCTTCTTACCCTGAGTAGTCGATTTGTCCATATAGAGAGGCCTACCCAAAGAACTAGCAACCGTCCCAGACCCTCCTTTGAGGTAAGCTCCATCGGCAGATGAGATAGCTTGATCCATATCGGTAGAGCCGAGTTATCAATCTTCAGAGGACTAATCCTTGGCTTCCACTTACGAAGGAAGAGCAAGTTCTCCCTATGATGCCACGTCCCATTCTCGGAAACCCACTGGAGGATTTCCTCAGCTGAGAACTAAAACAATACCAATCGGTGCCCCATCCCAGACAGTTGCACTTCACCATCCTTGCCCCATAACCAGTTCGCCCAGTATCGAATCGAGGCAATTGATGAAGGACGATCGATGAACTGCCCAACTAGACTATTCACCCAACGCTTTGCTCCATCTTCTACCACCTCCCTTGGAATCCTTACCGAGCCATTTACAAATTCTGGCTCATAATAGTCTAATCGATTATCTTCGGGAATTCCAAACAGCGAAACCCATGAGTGACCGTCACCGACGGCTTCCGCACCGTCAGTGACGGCCGCCATCGTCAAAATAGACTTAGGGTTCAGAGAAACGAAAGAAGAGAGGAGAAGATGAGATAACGATCATATTTTCAACTGCTATTTTTTTCAACTCTATAAATAGAATATTTCATTCTTATTTTTTCATACTTGTCTCTCTTCACTTTTTCCCCCACAAACTGGAAGAAGTCTGAGGATAAAGCACTGTGCAAGCTTTGAGTGAAAATTTTGGAAGATGTTATCGTTGGCAATTATCAATCATCGATGGCATTTTGGACTAGAATTGGAGCTCAATATGCAACAAGGGATTCGTCATTCTTCGGACTAATAATGCCTTGCAATATAGATGGAAGAGCATCAATTATTTATGTGGGAAGTGGAATGCCTCTTGGATGAGAGCAAATGTTGTACCGGCAAATTATTCTAACATACTTAACGTGGTTAGTCGAGTTTATATATATTTCATTAAGATAATTATTTTATTGTCACAATTATGGATTTTTAATTGAATTCATTATCTAGGTTGAACAAGATAATACTATCTTCATGGTGGATACGAAGAAGGAATGAAAGATGGAATATTGTTGGAATATCCTCCAGGATTGTCCTTTTTTTTACAACAATAGTTTTTCCCTGTAGCACCCATTCCACCATTGGAAGGGTCCTAGAATGGAAATGCCTTCGATGAAAATGAGAGACTTGATCTTCATGCAAGAGCGGCTTTCTATGTCATTGACTGTCCGAAAGTCGGATAAGGAAAAGAGGAAGAATAGATGACAAGGGGATCTTCAATGATGGATTTTTCAAAGAGTATGGCCGAAAAGACGGCAATTGTTAGGGTAGAACATGAGAGGGCAATGAAAATAAGGGGAAAGAATAAACAGGAGCAAGTTATCATGATTTATGAGTAAGGATCTTTCTCAATTTATCCCTCATACAAAAGTGTGGTACCAAAGGTAAAAAGATCAAATTGTAGTTGCATACCAAGTTGACCCAAGTCCAACAACGAGAGGGTCACACTATAACTAATATAATGACGTCGACATACTCAAATTGTAATTTTTAAATTTTGATGTATTATTTAGTGTGTTGCTTTTAATTATATTTTTTTAAGTGTGTTGCTAAGTCTTTCAATTTACCATTGATGTATGATCTACTTCTATTCTAATCTTAAAAAATTTAGTTAAATTTTTGTATGCCCTAATTTAAAAAGAAAATTACATAAAAAATGTGCGTCATAATTACTATGAATTGTTACGTAAAAATAATTTCCGAATTATCTAAATAAACAACAAATTAACCCTCAATTGGTTTCGACAAAAAACTGCTTTTGACCATTTCCCACTTTTCTCCCTTTCCATATTGTGGCTCTAGATCCAAATTGCCCTTTTTTTTATAGATTTCTCACTATTCCCACTTACGATTATGGGTGGTCTTAGACCATCTCCAAGTGGCCTGCAAGAGAACAAGAGTCTAGCAGTCAATGTTCTCCAACCATACCCCAGAAAGTCAAAGAGCAAGAATTGGACAACCAAAAGAGCAAGAATCTCCCACAAAAGGACAAGCATGCTAGAACACTTGGACCCCACCACCAGCCCAGTGAGCGACGCGCCGGAGGCAGAGGAAGTGTCACATGTGTGCACCAGTCAGGGTCGGTCATCGCGCCTGTGTCATACGCGCCCCCCGCGCGGCTATTCAATCCTACTGACCTTTGTCTGATTGAAATAAATAAAGGATTAATTGCATGGTTGGTCACTGAGATTACAAAAAAAAGTTCATTTTTGGTCATTCGAAATATTTAATTTCATTCGTGGTCACTAATATTAGTTAAAGAGTTCAAGTTTGGTCACTCTCTGTCCATCTCCGTTAACTTTTGCTTATGCGACAGTCAACTCTTACAATTAACCGTTAAATGTGCCATGTGGCAATTAAAAAATTAATAAAAAATCATTTTTAAAATTTTCAACTCATTATTCCAACTTTAAAAAAATAAAAATTACAAAATACCTAATTTCTTTTCTTCTAATCCCCATGCTCGGCTGAACCTCAACCCTCCATCTGCCGCTTCACTCACGCCGGCCACCTCTCCCAAGAGATCCCCATCAATAGAAATTCCCAAAATCAAAGACAACCCAAAACCTCCCCCAAAATCTCATCCCAACTCCCGTCGGCCACCTCACATGAGATCCCATCAACATAAAAACCCCCCTCCCCTCCCCCCCTGCCTTCCTCCGGTCCTCCCTGTGTCGTCGCCGCTCAGTTCAGAACAATTGCAATGGATTTTAGTCAGCTGATTCCAGAAGTTCATCACCAAAAATGGCTTCAGGCGATTCAAAGCCGCAAGGTGGAGACGACAGATATACAATGTTGCTGGCGGAACGACAATCACCTTATCCTTCGTTCTCCGAGAATTGGAAGGAGCGTATTTTAATTTCCAAGTTCTGGCAGGTTGTCTTTTTATTGTATTTTTCTCACCTTCACCTTCTACTCCTTTGGTCACCTCTTTGTCTGAAATTGATGTAATTGAAGGGCCCTTCAGTGTTGATTGGCCAAAGATGTCGAGAATGGGGTCACCTGTTCGATTTCCGGGATATGAAGTAGATGCAGATAATGGCGCGTGAGGTGATAAGGAGTCGTACATAAACTCCACCACCAACCGCCAATCCATTTGTCACCAATCCCTCTGCGATAATGGCGGGGGAGACGGCGGCAGTTGCGACGGCAGTGGGGTTTGGTCTGTAGGATATGGGGATTAGAAGAAAGTAGGTTTAATATGTTTATTTTTTTAATAATTTTGATAATGAGGTGGAAATTTAAAAGATTATTTTTTTATTTTTTTAATTGCCACGTCACACACTTAACGGTCAACTCTAATAGTTGACTGCCACAACAGACAAAGTTAACGGAGTTGGACGGAGAGTGACCAAATTTGAAATGTTTAAGTAATTTTAGTGACCACGAATGAAATTAAATATTTTTAATGACCAAACGTGAACCTTTTTAGTAAACCCCGGTGACCAACTATGCAATTAACCCAATAAATAATTAAATTCACTTTCAGCCCCCAATTCTTTCTAACAACTATTTAAGCCTCCAACAACTCTGTTTTACAATTTTTCTTATAAATACAACACTTTTTATACTAAAACTTCACCACTTCCCATTTTTACTCTCCTTCTCGACACAAAAAAATAAGGCAGATCATTCACATTGCATAAAACTTCTCTTCTTCCTAGAGTATTGATCAGGTCTCAATCTTCTCGCCCTCCGAATTGGAAAGAGACCAAAGATAAAGTGCTATGCAATGCTTGGATGGAAGTTTTGGAGGATAGTGTCGTCGACCATTATCAAACCTCCAATAAATTTTGGAGTCGAGTGGGAGTCGTATTTGCTTCTTCATGAGGGGTGCTTTCACGTACTTACGTTGGTTTGAAATCTCGATGGAAAGTCATCCTTCACCAATGTGGAGCGCAAAATGCGACATCGAAAAGAACAAACGAGACACCAATGAGCATAGAGAAGCTAAACGATGTGGTTAGTAGTCAAGTTCTTGTCATGAACTTTCTTATTTAATTATGCACTCAAGTGTGCACTTATTAATGTATGTGAGTTAATTATTTAGATTGACTGGCAAAAAAACTTTTCAATACGTACATGGGAAATGATTTCAAGTTGATGCATTATTGGAATATAAGACAACACTCTCCAAAATTTATCCAAAAACCGCCACCAATTCAACCAGTGTATGAATTTACATGGTCCATGCCATCAGGCAATAGTGACAACGCCAACTTTCCAGTGAGTGCATTTCCTGTTGTGATCAACCGTTCGGATGATCGAGATAAGCAAAAGAAGAGAGAAATTTCATATTCTTGCAATGAAAAGTTAGGATAAGAACATGGACTCAAACACGCATCACAAGCCACGAGGATTCTGACCAATATCTTTTACATAAAATTGGACCCTGTTTGATTGAGGTATAGCAAAAGAATTGGCATTTAAAAGAGTTGACTCGACATTTTGACTATCCTACTCCAACTAATAATGGTTTTGAATTCGGTCTAGTAAATATAACATTGGTTATTAGTTCACAGAACTTTTGTTGGAAGAATCCAAAGCAAGCTTCTCAAAGTCTATTTGAGCGCCCTGAGCGGAGGCCTTCTTCATCTCGAGGGCTCTCTTATAAGGAGGGGCAATAGGGGGCTGAACTGGATTCAAGCTCTGGTAAACCCCTTCTGAGTTTCTGGGAAGAGGGTATGATCGGTCCGAGTCGTAGCCGCTAAGGTCTCCACACGCTAGGAACGGGATGTAGACCTTGTTCGGCCCTTCTAGCCACCCGCTACTGCAATCTGCAGGCCAATTTACTTAACAATGAAGAAAGATAACGACGACAACAAGAAGAAGAAAGCCTAAAACCAGAGCATGCTATTAACTAGGGACAAACAAATAGTATGCGGCATGTACTGAGGGGAGAAAGCTAGTGACCAAACTTTGAAATGCTTTTGTCTCATTTGAACAAAAGGAGGCAGGGTTGTGACTTGTGAGGAATGATACACAAATTCAAAGCAATAATGCAATCACGCGTATGTAACACGTTGTCCATTAGAGAGTTTCTGAGTCAGAAAGAAGCAGCTGCTAGTAAGTAAGACAAACAGGAGAGGGCAGTGAGCTGGTCTATTAGATTAGACCTCGAATTTTCATACATTTTACTCTGATAAAGTGCGCACGTTTCCGGAATTGGAATTACTGATCCCATTCCCATGTTTCTTTCACTCTCACTGATTAAGGGGGTAACCAAGTAGAGGTTTCGATAACTTGACAAGTAATGCAATCATCCGTATTTTAGAAAATTATAAACGCCATACCATAAACCTAGGGAAATAGAATCAATTTGAGTCCTTGTCACACCCTGCTAAGCTTTCTACTTAAGTTTCCGGTTGAAAAAATTTGATTGGATGGTGTGCAATGCACTAAACGAAAATTCCAAGATTACACATTAAGGTTTAAAGAGATTATAGAAAACAATAAAATCATATACGACTTACCAAGATCATCTGCACCGGAGGGGCTCCCGACCTTTTCGAGGAGGCGGTGCAAGTCTCTTGGATTGAAACCCTCTGGAGGGGAATAATTCTCACAAACTGCAAATGCCTCTGCATAGGGAGTCATGTTTGATATTAGCTTTACGAGTCATGAGTTATCTAATCATTACCTAGGATATGGTTCTTCTGTCCTGTGTTGATATCATTATTGTGTATATCATAAAGCAGTAAACTTTATGATAGGAGAGACAATTGGGGCATCATTACACTCCACAACCATTTCAGTGCCCATGCATCCCTTGAAATTAGTGACTACATACTAAAACGCAGAAAGCCAAATGAGAACGGAAAAAGAAGGTAACTCTTACCTATGCTAGAATTACGGCTGCTCTTTGGTTTAGCAAAAGTGACAAGTGGGAAAAATAACTTAAGCTGCGAAAAGATAATGGCAAGCGTATTAGGTAGCCTAAGATATTTGAGTTCCAAAACGTTATTAACCCATAACATTCAATTCAATCAGGTTTAACGGACCCTAAAATTATGGATATGGTGTTGGAATGGGGCTCACAAGCATAATCCTGAAGTGAGGAAATTTGGAAAAGCATCACCTTACCTGGCAGTAGAGAAGACTTGTATCTTTGCCACGGAAAATTTTAGCAATGAATTTACCACCTTCTCTAAGAATGTGCGTGACAATGGTCAACCCCTGCAAAAGTGTCCATCTACATTAGCAAACATAAATCTTCAGCAAGATAAGTTCACCAGCAAAACCATGGAAAGATTGCCAATCAAAAGAAGAGGCGAAATAACATATGGTAACATGCTGCTATCAGCAGTATGACCTTCAGTATTTTCCAAATAAGGAGTGATCAGCATGTTTAATTTGCATAAACTTATAGTGGTAGTTCTGTTCAGAAAGAGACCATTTCACCCTCTTACCGCTAGTATGAGCTGGGACTGAACAAACTCATCCATGTCATGAAGACCAGTAACTGGAGATGAACACAAAGAAAAAAAGCATGAGAAGTGTAATCCATATCCCAAACCAAACTCTTTATTGGGAATGTCAAATACGAAAAATTAAAATAAAGGGCCAATGAAGTTGGTTTACCATCAGGGGCACCATCACAAACCACGAGGTCAGCCTTGCAGCCATCAAAATGCCGAATGACCTGTAAAAGGGAACAAGAAGATAAATAATCAGCTCATCGTGTTAGCAGTTCTTCTACAGGTACAAGAGGGTAGATTGCAATCAAGCAATTCAACTGAATGAATCAGAATATGTGGTATATGTAATGATACTCACAACTTCAGCTGTCCGAGCATTAGTAATATCACCCTGCACCTGAATAACACCTTCAATTGGAGCCATGGGTTGAAGGTCAATAGCCACAATAAGAGGAGGATCCTCATCGCTGCAAAAAACATGAAATATCATATGTTCACGCAAATAGCATAATGTGCATGAATACCTCCATATTGACAAATCGGGCAAGCTTTTTTTCAGAGTAGAAACATGATGTAGATTGAACATGAGTTTTATAATGCGGTTGCAACTCATCTTCACTGTATCACACTGGGACTAGCATCCCTATTCATTAGGAAACATCAACTTAAACTGACTATAAAACAAGATTCCCTCAACTTGCTACAAGCATATCCCAAGATTAGCAAGTAAAAAGTACTTACTTTGAATCCTGTGAAAGCTTTGCTGGAAGATAAAGTTTACGACTCAAAACCTGCAGATGACATATGATCTTCAAAATCCGGTTCAAAGCCAGACGGGGTACAACAATAAAGGTCTTCAACACTACAAAACTACAAACCATTGAACTAACCAAAACAATACCTCAAACTAGTTCAATACTGAATCAACTTCAGTCACAACAGCAGCCACAAAGGTTTACAAACTGGAAGTCCGTTAAACATTGAGATACCGGTAATATGTTACTGATATCTCAGCAAGATGCCAACAAAATGGAAGGAAGATAAAGCAATCACAAAAAGAAAACGCTATTGGTCCAGCTCATCAACATAGCTTAACGAGTATGCATATACTCTTTCATTGCCGAGAACTTCATGGAAGTACAGGAATTGTGTATACATATGCATTACCTGACTCCAGCTACCAGGAGCTGCGCATAAATCCACCACACGCTTCACCCCTGCCAATCAGACAGGTAAAGTTCTAGCACAAGGCAATAGAGATTCAGGAGCATAGCGTTAAAAGCTTGAACAGCCCGAGAAATTTCAGACACACCTTCGAAAATGTTGAATTCCTCGTCAATCTGAAGGAGCTTGAAGGCACTTCGAGCTCGCCAGCCCTCTTCTTTGGCCTTTCTATAGTAGATATCCTAAGAGTCCACTAGATTCATCACCATATGTAGCTCTATAAAAGCGAATGAAGGCTGGAACTTGAAGAGATATAGAAGCTTACCCGCTTATCCCTGGAAGCTTTCCCCATGGTTTACAAATCCTTAACAACTTTGCCGGAGACAAAAGCAAACTCTAATGACAAAGGCGATTCTGAACTGGCAGCGTTTCAGCTATCATGATATTCGATTGCCTGTGAAACAAGGACCCGTTGAATCGGCTGGTCAGCAAACCATAATGACGGTGACGGCGTCGTGGTATATGAAAAAATCGACCCCTTACTAACTTTCCGTTGACCCCTTTCTAGTCTTACTAGTTACTACCTTCTGCTTCTAGCTTTCTCTAATTCTCCTGGAGCTGGAGGGGTTCATAAATAAGCAGGGGAAATAGAGAGGGGAAAGCAAGGATAATGGATTAATAGGATTAGGGGAGTAACTTACCAAGTCGCAGAGCTGAGGTGGCTGCTTGGAACAAAGACGAGGCCGCGCCTGCTGGGAAGAGACGCGACAGCAGCTGCTGCAACAGAAAGCTTCGACAGGATTGGGAGAGAGCTGGAGGGGTTTGGCAGAACACGAATCGCCGTTGGATGAAGGAGAGTTAGCAGCACTCGCCGGCGGCGGCTCGTTTGGAATGGAGGATTTCGTTCAGTTCAGCCCGGTGATGGAAGGTTGCGGAGAACAAAAATATCATGGGGAAAGGGGAAGACATTATACCCTACTGGGCTTTTGTGCGCTGGGAAAGTTAATAGGCTAATTTGAAGATGGGTTAGTAGATACTAAGGGTTCGCTTGAAAGTTGTGATTGTTATAATTGTATTTGTTGAATACATGTATTATGCATAATACAATGTTTGGAAGTGTCGAAGTGTTAAACAATGCATGCATTGTTTTAGGTAGGTCCCACCAACAATCTCAAAAAATGATGCATTATACAATCTCAACTAAAAGTTGAGAATAAATGTGACATTTTCCCATAAAAGTAACTTTATGCAAATCAATGCATAAAATAGAATCTCAACAACCAAACAATCTATTGTTAAAATGCATCCATTGTATCAATACATGCATTTATATTATGATGATTCATTACAATGCAACGATTTAACATTCGCAACTTCCAAACTACCCCTAACTGATATCTAAAATACATGTATTTGTGTCTGACTTAGTGTAGGAGTGAAACACAAGGCAATGTGGGGTGCGAGTAGAGTTAAAGAATCCCATGTCTCTTACTTCCTTTAGTCACCGTTTACAAGGTTGGAGACCCAAGGGAGAGAGATGAATGTTAGAGAGAGAGGTAATTTCTAAGTTTCTAGTGTGAGAGAGCTGAGAATCGATCCCCCCCCCCCCCCCACCGGTATAAATGCTCTATTTATAGGCTACCACTTGGTGAGTGGGTTTCGAGATGACAAGACAACTAGAAAAGACAGGGGTTTCTTGAGTATTGGACGCGAATGGTGCTATCGCGCCTCCGCTCTTCTTGGTGATTGGCGGCATGGAGCAGAGTCGTCGCTGGGGTAGTGCAGGTGGCGTTGGCGCGTCTCCATTCCTCATGGTAGTCTGCGCTATCCTGCCGCTCGTCTCTCTTGACCTGTCCTCGGCGAGTGGGACGTTATGAGCGGCCTGGCTGACGCGTAATAACTGGCACGTCATTTAATGGAGTGGTCGAAGCCGAGCCATTCCCCCAACAACATGTAATAATATCCAAGTACTAAAGTATCTAGAGAGCACATACTAGTATTCAAAGTTTGCTAACTGATATCCACCATGAATCAACTATTATCCCAAATTTACATACTAATATCTAGACAACACAAGTATCAAAACAACACATAATTAGTATCCAGATAACACATAAGAGTATCCAGATAACACATAAGAGTATTCATATTGAATACTAGGAATTTTCCCGCTTCCGCACCGAAGACACACTTCAAGGAGTTTAGGCGAAGACTGTGTTTGCGGAGCGCTTCAAACGTCTCACCCAGATTTTCCAAGTGGGAGTTGCCCACTTTGGTCTTGACGATGAGGTCGTCCACGTACGCCTCGATATTCTGCCCGATCTGTTGCGAGAATACCGAGTCGATCATTTGTTGGTAAGTGGCGCCGTCGTTCTTCAATCCGAATGGCATTCCCACGAAGCAGAAGTTCCCGAATGGCGTCATGAAGGCGGTCTTTTCTTCGTCTTCGTGGGACATTGGGATTCGGTGGTATCCTGAGAACATGTCCAAGAAAGACAATGTCTCATGATCCGAAGTGGCGTCGATTAACTGGTCGATGCACGACAGGGGGTAAGGATCCCCGGGACACACCTTCTTAAGCGTTGTATAGTCGACGCACATTCGCCACGCTCCAGAGGATTTTTTTCACCAGGACCACGTTGGCTAACCATTTTGGATATTTGACTTCACGGATTTATCCCGCCGCGAGTAGCCGCGAGACCTCCTCTTCTATGGCTTTCAGTTTTTCGCCCGTGAAGCTTCGACGCGCCTGTTGCCTTGGCTCCGCGCTGTCTGGAACTATGGGACAATGTTGGGCGATCTGTCTTGGCACTCCTGGCATGTCTTCAGTGCACCAAACGAACAATTCTTTGTACTCCTTGAGGAGCGTTATCAGTGGTTCGATCATGTTGTTGTGGACGTGGGTTGAGATGCGAATTTTCTTCGTTGGTTTAGTTGGGTCAAGCGCGACCTCGAAGTCGGAGTCCATGGATTCCAGGCGTGGATCTTCCGCCCTTGTGTCGACGATGTTGGTTTGGCGGACTTCTCCTTCCCCTTTTGGTATTCCCCAGGGTAACTCGTGTGCTTCTCCGGTTCCTGCCTTGGTGAGAAATTTGAGCTTCTGGTGGCACGTGGATGGCAGGGCCATGAACTTGGCGAGGAACGGTCGGCCTAAGATGCCATTGTGGGGCGAGTTGCAATCGACGATGGTGAATTCGACTTGTTTCGAGACCCGTGGCTCCTCGTCTCCGATCACCACCGGAAGTGTTACCACGCCAATTACCGCTACCCTCGTTCCTGAGAATCCCACCAAATTCCCTTGCGCGTGTTTGATCATACGCGGGTCGATGTCCATTTGATCGAGGGTGCTCTTGAAGAGAATATCGGTCGCACTGCCTCCATCTATCAATAGGCGATGAATTTTGCAGGCGGCCACCAGGGCGGTAATGGTGAGGGGGTCTTCTGACGGAACTCCTTGGGGGAATTCCGGGTCATCTAAAATTAGGTTGCATTTTTGCTGCACCTCAGCTGTTGTGCATTCAATTGCGCGTTCGCGCTTTTTCTTCTTCTTTGGGCGGTCTCCTTCGATTGTCACGACCCCTATTTCCTTCCGCACTATGTACGAGTTGGTGGTCTCATCGTAATCAGGTTGTGGGGGAGGTGGCGATTCCGTGCGTTGCTCCTTCTATTCCTCCGCTCCGCGGACAAACTCAGAAAAAAGTTCTCTGCGAATCAGAGCCTCAATTTCGAATCGGAGGTTTGTGCAATCCTCCGTTTGGTGGCTTGTTTCCCTGTGAAAGTCACAATGCTTTTTGGGGTCGCGCATGTGGGGCTCAATTCTTACTGGCGGGGGCCAGTTAAGTTTGTAACCCTTCTCGCGGAGGACGTGGAACACATTTTTCACCGAGTTGTTGAGCGGCGTAAAAGTCTCCTGCGGGCCCCTATTTGGCAAACGCCTTCGCGCCACCTGTTCTGGCGGGGCGAGTGGACGGCTCGCCCTGCTGTGCCTTTGTATCAATTGCTCATGCGGCATCGGGAGCTGCTTTAGCGCCTGATCTTCTCTGACTAGTTTCGATGGTTTAAAGCGCTTAATGGACCCCGCCCCAGGGTTTCTTCCAAGGTAATGTCCTTTTCGATTTTGATCTCCAGCTCTGTCGATAATGTGACTGGTCTTTTTGCTAGCGCCCGCTTGAGTTCCATGTTGGTGGTGGCTTCCATAAGGTGATGGGCGGCGGTTTCGGGGGTGAGGTCCCGAACGACCATTGCTACCCTGGACCATCTGGCGTAGAATGCCCTGAGGCTTTCCCCGTCCTTTTGCCTGATATCAATTAAGGCTTTGAGGTGGAGGGGTCTTCTCATTTGGGAAGCGAATTTGGTGGTGAACAAGAGTATGAACTTCTCGAACGAGCGGATGATCCCGTTTGGGAGCCTGTTGTACTAGTCGAGGCATATGCTGGCGAACGTTGAGGGAAAGGTTCTGCAGAGTCGCATTGGAGTTGGTTTGGAGTTGCATCCGGAGGCAAAAGGTGCTTACATGGTCTTCTGGGTCGGTCGTTCCATTGTACGTTGGGAGGGCGGGCGACATTCCGCTTAGGTGCTCTGCCATGATTTCGGCGCTCAGTGGTGGGTGGAGGGTCCTCCTTGGTTGAGGGCGGTATTGCGGGGATAGGTGTTTCTTCAAGAAGCTGAGGTCGGCTCTTGCTGGTGGTTCTGCTTGTTGCGCTATTTGTGTTGGTGGCTCGACCGGGCCTGTTGTGGCAGCGGGAAAAGCGTTGGTGCTTCGTCCGGCGCCTGTTGTTGAAGCGGGGGAGGCGCTGGCGCTTCGGTCGGCGCTTGTTGTGACGAGGTCGACGCTACTTATGCCGTTGACACGGCCACCTTGCTCATCATGAGCGCTATTACTTAGTTCATCTTGTCCTGCATGTTGGCTATGACCTCGTTTTGCTTCGCCATTTGCTGCCTCATCTCCTTGGTTGTCAGTTCTGGCTCTTCCTCCTCAATGAGTACCGCGTTGAGGTTGCTTGCCTCGTCGAACCTCCTTGCGTCCGTCATAGCCTTGACCAGGGTTGCTAATTGTTTGTATATGAATGAGTGTAGGAGTGAAACATAAGAGAATGTGGGGTGCGAGTAGAGTTAAGGAATCCCCTGTCTCTTACTTCCTTTAGTCACCGTTTACAAGGTTGGAGACCCAAGGGAGAGAGATGAATGTTAGAGAAAGAGAGAAAGAGAGAGAGGTGATTTCTAAGTTTCTAGTGTGAGAGAGTTGAGAATCGATCCCCCCCCCCCACCGGTATAAATGCTCTATTTATAAGCTACCACTTGGTGGGTGGGTTTTGAGATGACAAGACAACTAGAAAAGACAGGGTTTAGGGT